CGTGGCGTCACTCTGCCCCCTGCAATGGCGCAGGGGAACCGAACCGGTCGGGTTCGTTAGTGTGGGGTCTGTACCGATGTGTGCCATTGAAAGTAACTTCCCAGCTGCTCTCGTTCCCGAGATATAGCGCCTTTTGTTGTTTTTTTAATGGGGGGGATCACGTGATAATGTACGACGACTTTAACCTCCAGTAACACCGTCTGGACATGTCAAACACTCTGATCGGTATAAGGATGAGTATGTCTGCAGTTCTGTTTATCTGTGGTGCGGTTGATTTTGCATTTAATAACTAAGTTATTGTTTTATTTGCGTTTGTGTGAACAGGAAAGTGTGTCTCTTAAACCATACAGTAATCACAAGCTGCAGGTTGAGCCTTAAAAAGCGAACATTAGCAAACAGTTGTATGTTCTTAAAAGGGCTTTAACGAGCGTGTCAACATTTTTTTTTTAATTTGAAGAAGTAATCAGTCTCTCACTGTGTCCATTTTAACTATGCAAATCAAGGGATTGTTAAAGATTCGACCGGTCTTTGGAGACACGTACTTAAAAATACTAGAATTAGAATTCACAAGAATTCCTGTGCTGAAGACCGTAACTGTAATATATGTTTTATGCCAAGCAAATTCAGAAACGTGATAAAGAAATGTGAATTTATTTTTTAAGGGTACTAAATGTATCCAGGTAGTTCGTAATACATCAGCAAAACAGCATTGGAAACTATTACTGTCTCACATGCAGATTTCGGAAATATTCGAAAACATTTATTTTCACATAAAATAATTGAACATGTATCTATTAAAAACGTCTTTGGATTAAAGCATTGATGATGTAGAATTATTGAAACTTTAATTGAACATGGATTTGTTTTCAGTCGAATTAAATTGAAATACTTTATTCATCCCCAGGGATTCAGATCATGAATTGTACAAGGTTAGGAAGTTGTTGGTTTAGTTTTAATTCAACGTTTCATCGAAAGTCATTTTCTAAATTCCACGTAGTGGGCGCGTCAAATTCGATTTTGGGGTACTCTGAAGCTCAAACGGCTGCTCTCTTCTCATTTTGAACTCTTTCTATCCTCATAAAAAAGAAACTTTGTTCGGAAATCTGCTTCCCAAATTAAACGACACACACCGGAATAATTTTCCTCCAGGTGCAAGGGCGCTACTTAAAAGCCAAACACGCAAAAATGCTGCTAGAACCATTTTTAAAGGAGACTAATTGAAAGCTTGATACAGAATTAACTTAACCTGCCTCCTATCTTTTAATTATTTAGACATGTCTAAAACACGGACTGGAACCCGGAGTTGGCCTGGCTCCCACATTCTTTCAGATGTACGTAATGTGGAGTATAATCCCACTCCATACTTTTAACTGAGCCGCTGATGGAGTAAACTTTTTGAAACTTTAATTGAGCGTTTAATTGCGCACGATTTGTTTTCATTTCAATTCAAAATACTTTATTCATCCCCAGGGATTCAGATCATGAATTGTAAAAGATTAGACAACAGCGTCAGAAAGTGTTTCAGAATTTCTGTCTTTGAAGTTTAGATCAAGCAGTGTGAAATATACTGTTAGTGTCTGATAGTCACTCTCACCTGTAAATACTGTACATCAGTCATTGACTGTAGTTCCTCAACATTTTTCACTGCATAACCGGTGTATACGGTATATAACAAGATAGAATTTCGATTACATTTGTAAATTCATCAAAATGAACTTGCAACTCTCTCTTAGATCCGACTGTTATGAGTTAATATAAAGCTCCTAAATACCTGTCGTACAGTGCTTCCACTAGTTTATTGCCAGCCGTTTGATAATATTTTTTTACCCTTTGCTTGAGTACAGTAAACAGTAACTTTCTTCTTATTGTATATCAGATCTCGCAATAATATGAAACTGTGACGCTCCGTTGATAGCGGAGCAAGTTGTTAACGTCCTCATCACTATTCTGTTTTCTGTACATACACTAGTTCTCATTCTATTTACATGCATCGCTTTTGATTTTTAAATCTTTATTCCGAAGGCTTAAACCTCTATGTGGAATCTTGTCAAACGCCGTATATCATGTCGTGACACCTACTGATATAAAGGAACTAAAGGGATATTCTGGCCAGATAGCAACTGGGGTATAAAACATTTTGATTACTTGAATCGTTTTTAAAAATGATGTCTTTAGAATCTTTTCAGGCATTTTGTTGAAAAATAAAAACATCAAACTTTTAACCTCTCAGCCTTCACGTCTGACACATGACATTCAGGCTCCCCCAAATCTACATCAAATATTGATACTTTATTTTTCCCTGTCAAATCGAAAAGATAAACAAGTCATGTCCAGCCACAAAAAGGGCTAAAAAAGCGCTTTACAAAGGCGTTTCAGTAGCCTTAATTCTTGAAAAGAGAGTAAACAGGCGAACCGCCTCGTCTCGGGGCTGTGACTTGGCTTTAGGCTGAATAAGAGATGTACATGGCCGGTATTCTGCGTGGCCGGCCTGGTGGCTCCGCGGGCTGAACCATCGGACACTTCTAAAGTTCAGAGCAGATCGGCTCCCGGAGAGTCTTGTGAGT